AAGTTCCAATATACAGTATCCAAATCTGCAATACTGACAGCTCAATTTCTCAATGCTCAGGCAGCTCCTGACTCTGGGTTTCACCTTCTAATTTGTAATCCAATAAAAGGGGAAAGTCAAGTGCAAGTTAAAATTCCAAGTCTTTAGCTTAAAGTCTTTACTTTAAATTGCAAGTTCAGTAGATGCTTAGATCTGTAAAGTTTAAAATCTCTTCCTTTCAGCCTCCACTCCTCCAACTTAGTTGCTTTTTTCAAGTTCAATGGCTGCGGAAGACGGACTTCCTGTTTCCACGTCTCTCCGCTTTCAGCCAAGTTCAAGCCAATTTAAGGTTTTTCATTTAAAGTCTCTAATTTCAAGTGATTCAGTCTTTACTCACGAGTAAGTTGCTTTTCGTCCGAATCCGTATTTTAACAGGAAAAAGGATCAGCGCTCACCGGCAGCAGCAGCGCGGCTTCACTCCGCAGACTGTGAAGCAGCTCTCAGCGCCGCAACCCCCCTCCACGCTCCGGAGCCCCTTACGAGGTTCCTTTCACGTTTGGAGGGTCACTTAAGGCGCCCACCGAGCCTCAAGACCCCAAGCTCTTGCTGCCTGGGGTTTTCCGGAGTGGGTCTCCGCTTCGCCGTAGCGGACGACCCGTTGTCTGCGGAGCCTCCTCTCCCGTTCAGAAGAGGACCGCCATTGCCGTTCGCGCCGCCCCTCGGAAGACCTACTATATTTTAAATATGATTATTTTTATGATGAATGTTTTAGCCTGCATGATGGCTCCTGCAATCAAGGATCAGAAGGGGCATTTTCCTTGCTTCTGAGACTCCAGGGACACCTGGGCAGGAGATGATGGAAGGTCTCTTTGGTTTGGCCCTGCAGGGACTTTCTTGGGTTTTTTAAGGGTCATCACCTACCGGTACGTCTCTTTGAAGGCGCTGTCCAATCTAAGGACTCAGCTACATTAGCAAAGAAAAAGCATTTCATATGTGTTATAATACTGTGACACCAGATGGCACTGTGGAGTCCCGTCTTCTGCCCATGTGATTCCCCCACTATGAGGTTTACAACACCTTTTTCTGAAATGTCTTTCTGATGTGTCTAGATCTAGCCTGTGTTCCATTTAAGGATTTTTTTTAACACTATAAGGAAGGGAGAGCAATGGTTTTAAAGTTGACTGAGCAGACACACTGGTGATGTGGCCTTACTCTTTCTCATGATGGTGTGTTGCATTGTATTTTTATAGTATTCCCCTTCCCTAAATTTGCATTTGTACAGTTGAATGAGCATGTGCTAATTTTAGTTCTCTTCTGGTGATACATAAATGGCCACCCTACTTTTTTTTTAAAAAAAAGTTTTATTTTAATATGACAACATAAAGAAACATACAACCCTTTAACCCTCTCCTGAGAAATATCAATTTTTAAAAATTATTATTATCTGAAGAAGTGTGCATGCACATGAAAGCTCATACCAATATCAAACTTAGTTGATCTCTAAGGCACTACTGGAAGGATTTTTGTTTGTTTGTTTCGACTACGGCAGACCAACACAGCTACCTACCTATATCTAATACCTACCTATATCTAATAATAATAATAATATATTATTTATACCCCACCCATCTGGCCAGGTTTCCCCAGCCACTCTGGGCGGCTTCCAGCAAAATATTAAAAAGCAATGATTCATTCAGTATTAAAAGCTTCCCTAAACAGGGCTGCCTTCAGATTATACAATACCAGCAGCCCCCCCTCCCACAAACCCCCCCATCTTGATTCCAAATGTCCAACGGTATCCAAACATAGAGCTCCTTGATCTCACCAACCATCGTGCAAATTTTGGTTACAACGTCTTAGGAGGTGCCCAAATGCATAGGGATCAGATAAACTGCTTTCCAAAATATATAGCAGAGATAATCTTGCACCCCACCACCTATAACCAGATGCCCACATTTTAATGGCAAAACAGGAACAGTTCAGGCCCAGGGTGGGGAGAAAAAACGGGAGAGGTGAGTGTAAGGACTGTCGGTGTGGTGATGGATGGAGATCAAAGCTTATGTTCTTAAGGTTAATTTTAGGTGGCTTTGGACATGATAGGAGTAGAAATGTGAATGCTGTGTTTTCTTTCGTAGTACTCTTGTGTCTCATTCAAAGATAGAGATACACCTGTTCAGGGACACATATAGCTCCACCTTTTGAACAAGATGCTGAAGTAAAGTGAGAGGACTCATGGATTCCATGCATGTCATGACATGAAGCTCTTGAAGGAGCGGGACGCTTGCCTGCTCCTTCAAACAACTCTCTCCTCTTGTGCTCTGGAAAACCCAAATGGATTTCCTTGTCTTGTTCCCATTGCCACCTCTCTTCTCCCTTTCAGAAACTCTGTCCCAACTATGGGGAACTTGTGGCAGATGTTGCTAGACTACAGTGTCCATCATCCCTGATCGTTGGCCACGTTGGCTGGTGCTGATGGGAGCCCAACAACACCGGAAGATTCCCCATCCCTATTCTATGCTATTAAAAGCTGAATGGCAGATATGAAAACTACTCAACAGGTGTGGTGTTTCCTATTGCTGTATCTCCAGGCTGGGGAAACTTTCAACAGCGGAATTTCTGCCCTACATGCAAGTCAGCAATAGGAGCCCAGCCAGGAAGGCGGGGGATGGAGGGGGAAAAGTGTGAATCCTCTTATTGACAGGCCAAAGGAGTGTCACCCTCTGACTAACTATTTCATTGTGCGAACTCTAATGGAGATGTGTCAAGCAGCCTTACACCCAAGCTATGTGCCAGTTCTAAAACACAGTCGAGTAGGAACAGCCCGAGAAGGAGATCCGCTTGTGAAGTGGCAGGGCTGCAACTTTATGGAAGAGGGTGTGATAATTGAATTTTGAAAAGAGCTGACATCTGAAACGAACAGCATTAGTAATTACGTGACATCCTGAAGGATGATATTAATGATTCTTATGCAAGTGTTTGTTAAACCTGTAATTCAGATTTAATGACTATCCAAAAGCCTTTATTATAAGAAAAAGAAACTCTCACTTTGTTTCCGAGTTTAATCTCCTTTGAAGCAAAATTTCTCTCTCTCTCTCTCAAGCAGGAGAGTTCAGCTTCAATTAGCATCTGCCGAAGTGAGTGGGAGAGCCCCCCACTTCCCATTTATTAAGGATGGAAAGGAATAAAAGGCTTTGCCTCAATGATACCGTTTCATTGTGATTTGACCCTTTTGGATGTTAGAATTGTCCTTGATTATGTGTGTGTGTGTGTGTAATATCTCCTCTCTCTGAATTTGGGGGAATAAATTCTTTATTATTAGAATCCCCTGAATAATTATTTCTATTATTTGAATCTGTGATAGAGTTCTGTATTCTGATGCAAGAGGGAAGGTGATTTCACAAGATGGACCTGGGCATAATAGAGGAGAAAGCAATCACGCAGACAGTGGTTGGTCCTCCTGTTGCTGACTTCAAACCAAGTCTGATTTGCAAAAAGCATTAAAATGTCTCTGTGCCAAGGGCAGCCCTCCTGGAATGCTTCTGGTCGCCCCCCCCCCCCCACTTTTGCTATTCTACTTAATTTTTTTTTTAAAAAAATCTCATTTAAATAATAATAAAAAAAGCACACCTATCAGCATATATATTCCTATGATCTTCAGTTCTGCAGTGTTCCATTTACCCACCAGGTTGACTCGTAATACTTTCCTGCTTTTCTACAACTGCCAAGCAACCTGTTTGGTGGTAATACTAATTAAACCCTGTCCCAAGGATGCAGAACTCGCAAGAATGTGAACCCCTTTAGCGGGCTGGGTGCAAACATGGATTTGAGCTCTTCGCGGTCTTGTCAGCCTATAAATATATATAAAAGAACCCTCTAAATTAATCCTGTGTGCCATTTTCTAATTAGACTTAAAATGCAGCTGCTTTGAAAGGCCCCCAGAAGTGATGCAAGGCGCCAAATTAGTGTTGCTTTTGCCGAGAAGGTGTTCTTCTCAGGTCAGGGAGCAGATAACAAATGAAGCAGTGTTCGGAGGCAGGCATTGGGCTGCTTGTGTAAGAGCTGGCTTTCGGATTAATAGAGGAATGCAGTTTTTAAGAACCGCAAGTCCCCTAAGCTTTGTAAAGAATGGCAACAATTCCTCTGTTGCGTTCCTGTTTGGGTCGATCGACCGCAAAAAAAGTGCCACATATCAACGTGAGCGCCCCGCTGTTCGCATTTGCTGCTTCTGATCCACAGCCACGGTTCTCATTGGTGATTCCTGCTCTGCCGCTTGAAAAGGACGAGGAGGGAATTGAATTTAATATTGCTAGGACTCTTGGCCAGTAGTCCTCTGCTTTTAATATTGCCTTGGGCAAATCACTGAGACTTTGGCTTGCTTCATTTATTAACTGGCTGTCAGGGTGAAGATAAAATGCCTTTTAAGGATCGTTGGTGCTGCCATTGCTCTTGTTACTTTCCTCTCTTCCAGAAACGTGTCTGATTCCAGAGGGGGGTCTCCTCATTAGGGATGTAGGAATTATAGAATTGTATTGGTGCTCTGGGTTAAACCACAGAGCCTAGGACTTGCCAATCAGAAGGTCGGCGGTTCGAATCCCCGCAATGGGGTAAGCGCCCGTTGCTCAGTCCCTGCTCCTGCCAACCTAGCAGTTCGAAGCACATCAAAGTGCAAGTAGATAAATAGGTACCGCTCCAGCGGGAAGGTAAACGGCATTTCTGTGTGCTGCTCTGGTTCGCCAGAAGCGGCTTAGTCATGCTGGCCACATGACCCAGAAGCTCCCTCGGCAATAAAGCGAGATGAGCGCCGCAACCCCAGAGTCGGCCATGACTGGACCTAATGGTCAGGGGTCCCTTTACCTTTAATCTAGTCCATGGAGAAGGAACTAGCAACCCACTCCAGTATTTTGCCAAACACTCCATGGACAAAAGGAGAAGCTTTGAGAAGAAATGCTCTGGTTCATGGGGTCACGGAGAGTCTAGCACGACTAAGACGACTGAACGACGACAAATCTAGTCCAATCATTTGCCCAATGTGGGCTTCAAACCCACAACCCTGAGATTAAGAGTCTCATTCTCTACTAACTGAGCTATCCCAACAGTTGGCACTGTCTTCCATTCTACCTTGTATGTGTCCTATGCAGCACTGCTTCTGTTTCACTGCAGTTCATCTTCCACCCAGCAATGGTCAATCTATGTAACTTATGTAATTTACTTAATAAATCAAGGTAATTAATTACATAAATTAATTATGATATGTTTAGTTACCACGTCACTAAGTTATTCCTCCTCATTCATTTCGGGGCTAAGGAAACAAGGGGTGGGAGACGTAATTTATTCATGGACTGAAAAGGTGATCAGCGATGGTGATCACAGTTGCTGAGCTGATATTTGTTCTGGACATGGGAGGAATAAACAAACATTTGCAATTTCCTCTCCCATTTCCACCAGAATTTTTCAACTTCTCTACTCCACATCCTACTCAGTCCTTGTTCTTCTGTTGTAATTTACATGCAGCATTGCTTCACTATTGAGAGTATTGCACTTTTCCTGTATGTACATCTCACTATGTTTTGTCCACATCTCTGGGCAGAACATACCAATTTTGAGTGGAGTCACCTATAGCTTAGCACACATTATAACTATAACTACTGTGGGTACCATACTACGACCCCATTTTCATTTTTTAATCAGTCTTTTAATTATTGCTAAAACACATTTCCACGTTTTCTTTTGCATTGAAAAAGAAGCATACTGCTATTATACCATACTGCAATAATGCTATTACACCATGGTATTATAACATTATAAATCTCTTTCATTTCTAAAAATCCTAGCAATACTGCTTTAGCAATAATGAAACATTGATTAAAAAACAAAACAAAAACGAGGTTATAAAATGGAGCCCACTGCAAACTTTATAGTAACACAAAAATTGTTTGTGAAAAATTCTTAGCTCTTCTAACCACCCCCCCAGCATGTTCAAGAAATTGCATCTTACAGATTAGAAAATAAACATTTTATTTAAGTGGCCTACCAATTAAACCAATAGATCTTTGAAACTCTGGTTTGCATATAGAAATATGGAATGGAGCTTTTTCCTAGCCCCTGTGCAACTAATTTTTCCATATCTTGCTAACAATGCAAAACAGTGCATAACTTCTCAGAAATTGGTCCAAAAAAGTTCAACTTGCTCCCAACCTAATTATCTTAATTACGCAATAAGTAGGTAGTGATTTTACAGGTTTAGGAAATAATTGAGAGAGGTGGTCACTTGTACAGGGTACTAGTAAATTAAGCTTTCGTTGAGTTTTCTTTTATTTTGAACTAAATTTGAAAATTCAGGCAACTACATGTGCATAATGAATGCTTTAATGCAAGAAGTGGCATGTCAACCATGGAGACGAAAAATATTTATATTAAATGTATTCTTCCCACACAATTAATTAGCATGTTAGCCTTTATCTACCCACTGCATTTTCAATTTAGTAACTGAAAAGCTTTCTTAGGCTCACTATCTTAGCAAAGTGACAGAGGGCAATAATTACACCACCTATCTCAGCCTGTTGTCAAATATCAAGCTTGTTTCTAGAAATTGAGCATCAATACCAATTAATCTTAGACCTTTGTTTTGTAAGTTCCCTTCAAGGAGACTCTGTTGTTCAGTAGTAATGGTACATGTTTTTTTTTTAAAAAAAGAACCCAAAATATCTACCTAGCCTTGCAAAAATATTGAGGTATTAACACAAGCATATCAACAGCAGGCATCAGGGTATCTCTAGCAATGTTCTCACTTGAATCAGAATCAAGCCAAGTTAAAAACATTCACACACACAAATGCTGAACGAAGCACGTTGAGCTTCGTGTACTTAGAATAATAATAGAATAACAGAATCTTAGAGTTGGAAGGGACCCAAGGGCCATCTAGTCCAACCCCCTGCAATGCAGGAATCTCAGCTAAAGCATCCATGAGAGATGGCCATCTAACCTCTGCTTAAAAACCTCCAAGGAAGGACAGTCCACCACCTCTTGTGGGAGTCTGTACCACTGCCAAACAGCTCTGACTGTCAAAAAGTTTTTCCGAATGTTTAGTTGGAATCTACTTTCTCGTAACTTGAAGCCATTGCCTTGAGTCTACCCTTAAGAGCAGGAGAAAAAAAGCATTCTCCGTCTTCCATGTGACAGCCCTTAAGATATCTGAAGATGGCTATCATATCTCCTCTCATTCTCCTCTTTTCCAGGCTAAACATACCCAGCTCCTTCAAGCACTCCTCATAAGGCTTCATTTCCAGACCCTTGAACATCTTGGTTGCCTTGGTTCCAGCGGATTTCAACCTTTAAAGAGTGGATTTCTGGAGTCTGGAAGTTTAAAAAACTAAGCAGTGAGAGATTTCAGGGATGCCAACACATACCTTGGGTTGGGTTTCCTTGGAATGAAAGTAGTAAAAAACGGTGGTGTCTTCATGATACCAGGATATGCCAGCAATTGAATTTGGGACCTTCTGCTTGCAAAGGAGATGCACATTCTACTGCCAAATGTGTGGAACCTTTGGCGTGCCACATGTTGCTACAACCTCCTTCATCCATGGCCATTGGTCATCCTTGCTTGGGCTGATGGGAGTTGTAGTTCAGCAACATCTAGAAGGCTAAAGGTTAGCCACACCTGTTCTATCACCAAGCTATAGCTTGTGACACCCGTTGCTTGGCTTTTTCTAAAACTGCAGTGCCTAAGTGGTGTGTGGGGTGCTTTCTTAAAAGCCCAGGACCATGTGAGAAGGCTGACTCACACAAGTTGGTTCTGCCCAATAACAACAAATGTATTTTCAGGGAAGGAGACCCTGTGGCTGTCTAGATGTTCGACTCCAGTTGCCCTCACCTCTGCCCAGCATGGGAAGGTTGGACTTGACAATATCTGAGGAGCCACAGGTTCACCTTTGTCATGTTAAATGGAGGGAGGGGGAAAGTATCACATTTTCCCAGGTTCAAAATATTGTGCTTGGAGAGCTCAGAAAATAGTGTATTTCCATGGCAGCAGTGCAATCTTGAAGGAAGATGTGAGGAATGTACACAAGTACACAAAGAAAAGAATTGCATGTTTATTGTGCAGTGATCTGATTGTGTGGGTCATATCATGACAAAAGAAGTAAGGTAAGATCCATCACTTAGGCTAATCTGACATCTTCTGCCAAACATACTTTGCTCCCTTAAAGCCTCACAGATGTCAGTGCAATAAGTATCCATATTTAGAACTATGGGGTACCCAGAAGAAAATACAACGAAGCATTCCTTCAGAGGGAAGCCTGTTGTTAATGACTGCTCATATTAAGGAGAGTGCTATAGTCAAAGGGAAAAGAACTGATATTCTGGGTCAGTCACAATTCATAAAGCAAAAATCTCAAGAAAGTCAAATACTAGAAAGTGTGTGTGTGTGTGTGTGTGTGTGTGTGTGTGTTGGGAATGAAGTGGGGATGAAGAGAGAGAGAGAGAGAGAGAGAGAGAGAGAGAGAGAGCGCTAAAATTCCACATTCCACTTATTTTATCCAAGACTGCATATTTATTTTGAGATTAATTTGGCATATGCAGTGTATATTTGCCAAGATTTTTCCCCCTATTTAAATCTTCAGTTCCAAAGCTATGTTTTTAATCCTATTACTACTAATTGAGTGAAGTCTGCAGTCTTTTTCAGTTAGGTGAAGTTCAAATTGTAATTGGTTAAAAAAAAGAGCACAACATAGGGATGAAATATTAATATTTAACTCCTGAATTTTCATTATTTCCACTTTAAAATCAAGACAGTGGTGAAAACACAGGTGCACACACAAACACACACACAAAGCATTTTTGGGGGGGGGGGGAGAAGATACTGATTTGGAGATCGTGGGAAAATTGGTTCATGGAGCAGACTGACTAGCAAAGAAACAGATACAATTGTCAAGACTGTACATTAAAGTTAAGTATTATGCTAACTCTTCAGTGGCATTCACAACGGTCAAGATCAATCAGCATTTCCCAGTGAATGTTTTCATTTTTTAAGAAGCACAGTGGGTGACATCCATTGATACCTGTCTGCTTGCAGATTTCAGTGCTTTGGCTGGCCTCTATTAAGTGTCCCATTAAGTTTTTAAACTGTACAATCAATATTGCTGCTGTAAATAGGGCTCAGTAGCAACTTAGTGCCAGTACAACTCATGGCAAATAGGTGTGATATGACACTGACTTCATGTGCTGCTCAGAAACCCAACAGCAGCATTGTGTACCAAGTGCAGCTTCTAAACAGTCTACAAGGGTAGCCCAGCCTAGATTGCATTACAGTAATCTAGAGGTGAGGTTACCATGGCAGAAAGAAGATCCCAAAGCAACTCCCAACTTAGCAATAGGTCAAGTCAAAGCATCCATTAAGCAACTCTCTTATGAAGGCTCGTAGAGCTGGAGAATAGGGCAAGGTAGGTGGAACCAGTCATCTCTGATGGCCAGCACTTCCCAGTTCTTCTGGCAGCAGCTCCCCCTATGAAGGTTTCTAGGGCTGAAGGGTGGGGCAAGACAAATGGAAAAGCCATCCCCTTAATATGCATTAATACAATACATTTTTGTATGTTATTTTCACTAATCATCTTTATGCATATTTCCCCTAACGCATGCATTTTTGTAAACCTTGGCTGCTTGGAGAATCAGTGCAAAATTCAGATAAGTGCAAATTTCAAAGAATGGCTGTGTTTCCGTTTTCATATTGTTTTGGACAGTGTGAATCTGATAGATTTGGTTTTAAATGGGATCTGAATCAATTTTCTCCCCTACCAGGAAGACTGTATGGCGGGTAGGGGAAACGCATGCCCCCAAAGTCTTACCTTTCCTGCTCCACATAATGCATTATCTTCTGTTTCGTGTATAAAAGACCACTGTAGTATCGTAGAATAATTCCTTGAATAATGCACATGCCCAAATAAAAAAAGCAGATGTGTCAGACATCATTCTCATCCTTTCAGGTGGGTAGCAGTTAAGCCGTAGAAAGGGCAAGATGTAGAAATGTTTGTTAATCCCATCAACTGTTTGTTGCCCTATTAGGTTTGATGACATTGCAATTTCTGTAACTGACTTTGGAATGGGATA